CGGGTTGCAGGTGGCGAGCTGGGAGATTGACTGCCCCATCGCGACGAATCCCCACGATGGCGCGACCAGTCAGCGCGGCCGGCGCGCTCCAGCCGTGGAGGGCGAAGGCGCTGACCTCCATGCCCCCTAAAAGTCTGCGGTCCACGCAGTCCGGCGGCGGTGCGGTGGGGGCGGGCGTTGGCCGCGAACGCCTCGCTTGCCTTGGGCCAGGCGGCCGCGAGGTCGCATGGGGCCCAGGCGTCGTCGATTCCGACTTGGAATCGGCGCCGGGCCGCCTTTGTGCTTCCTGGTCGACGACTCCGGCAAGCTTCGGCCGCGCTCCGGGGGCCCGCCGCCGCAGCAGCTCGCGCCCCTGGCGGCGGGCGACGACGGCCGAGATCACCGCGCCACCGACGGCCGCGAGCGCCAGGCGCTGAAGATCCAGCTCATCAGCCCCGACGCGCGGGTGCCCCCGCAGTGCGCCCCCAGGGCTGCAGGCTGCGACCTTAACGCTTGCGCGGGCGTCAGTCTGGCGACTTGGAGTCGTGGACTGGCGCCGACGGGTCGGGCGCCCCCGGCGCCGCCGGGCGCGTGCCGTCGTATTGCCCCTCGCTTGGGGCTCGCACTCGAGGGCTTCAATGTCGCTGGCGGCGTGGCGTTCTTCGGCTGGGGCCCCGTCCGGATGCGCGCAGGCAGCGCGACGTCCAATGGGGTCTCTCGGCGCCCCCGGCGCCGAAGGCTCCGCGGAAGTGCAGCGCGAAGAAATTGCCGAGGTAGCCCCCCGAGCTAGCGCCGCCGTGCTGCCCTGGCAGAAGTGGGCAGCGGGGCCAGGGCGCCCCGCCCGGCCCCCAGAATGAGGAAGGGTCGCGTCGCTAGCATTGCAAGATAGCGGCTTCTACATCATCCGCGCCGCCGGCTTCGAGGGCGCCGGGAAGTCATTGCCCGGCGGCGCGCTCGCCGGCGCCAGCTACGGCGCGCCTTGATTTGCGCGCGACGCAAACAGGGGCGAGGTCCACGTCGTCGTCGACTATTCCCCCCATTGGTGCGCCAGGGCCATGGGCGCTGGCGCCAGAGCGGTGATCCTCGGCCGGCGTGGTCAGAGGCGAAGTGACCGCCGGCGCGACATATGATCGACGTGCTCCAGTAGAGACAGCATCGGGCTTGCCGCGAGCCTCTGGCCCCAGAGGCCAACCGCAGCAGCTCTTCGTGGGCGCCCATCTCCAACCTGCTGCGCTGGCGCGACGTCGAGCTGGAAGAGCGCGTCGACGTCTGGGCGATCATCGACCAACGGGCGCATTCGGCCGCGATGTGCCGCGAAGCGTTGCGGCTTGCACCGCGCTGCCGTTGCGGCGGCAGCGTGCTCGTCGGACTCGGCCGCGTCTTCTAGCCCCATGGCACCGCGCAAGCGCGACGCCCGGCAGCGCGCCCGGGGCCACTTGCGCCCAAACGCCCCGCCGCCGCTTGCGAGCTTGAAATTTTGGCCAGAGGTTCCCCGCGGACCTCCAGGGGGGCGGGTGGCCCGCCCCCCCTGCCGCTCAAAAGGGATTTGTCGATCAGTCCCAGGGCGCCGCTGTCGATTGCGCCGCGGGCGCCAGCCCGACGGCGGAGCGCGTGCGCCGAGAGGGCAAGACGCAGGAGGGCCATGCGCCTGGGCGCGCAAGTAGGTCGTCGAGGACCATTGCGACGAGCGCGGCGCCGACCTCGCTGGGCTAGCCCTTGATCTTCTTGGCCTTCCAGGCTCTGGCGACTATGGCGACGCCGGCGAGTGCGACGAGGACTACCTCCACGGCGCCGTTGCCGCGGGTCTGCCCACGCGTGGATTGCGGCCGGCGTCGGCGTCGACAACGTCGAGGTTTGCGGTTGAGAAGTGCGGGCTTGCAGGCTGGATCGGCGCCGCTGCCTTGGAGCAGGCGCGAATTTCGACGCGGTCACTGGCCATGGCCTCATCGGCGAGTGTCTTCAGCGAGCCGTGGGGCGATCTGTTCGACAACGTTGGCCACTATTTGCCATCGGGGCTCCGACAGGCAGGCCCTTCGGCCGCTGGGCAACCTTCGACGTCGAATGGGTTTGCCGCGCCTGGCTGCGGCCCTGCCAGGGCGCGGGCCCACGCGGCCGATGCTGCGGCTACTTGGCACAGTTGCGCCTTGCATTCGGCAGCTACTTCGTCGACGAGCAGCCCGACACATCATGGCTGTGCGACGAGCCGCTCTGGCCAGAGGCGCTGGTATCTTCGGTTGTGGACAAGGTCATCTTCGACCGGTGCCAGTATGGGCTCCGAAATCGTCGCGGGCGCATTTCGACGAACGCCGCCGGACTGGTCTCTGGCGCTCCGGAGAGCCTGGGGCAGTTCGCGAGCCTCAGATGCCCGGGCAAGCGGGCCCGCGCCCGAGCCGAGGGACACGACAGCTTCGACGCCCAGGCTTGGTCGAGGGAGATGGCCGATCGACTTGCCCAGGACATGGCGGACTTACGTCGCCGTCTGCGACGTCCGCGCCGCGCGAATTGCGTTCGCGCGTCCGACGTCCAAAAACTAATCTTCCAAACAGTGGTTTTGGAGCCGCGGAGGGCAAGTTTAGACGTGGAGCGGCGGCTGAGCGTTCGCGCTACACCTGCAAGGCGTGCAAGCGCGAGATACGAGCAGACGCTCCCATGCACCCCAGGGATCTGGCAACTTGTCATCATCCCAGCAGCGCCCCGACCCACTGGGAGTGCCCTAGGTGCGCAGACGAGACGGAGCGAGTTCAGCAAGTGCAGATTCGTGGGCCCTTCGCACGCTGTCATGCCCGCGCGCCGGCCAGCGCCCGAGAGTGCCATCGCGTCCTGGAATGCTGCGTCGCTCCAGCGATCAGCAGGGTCAGCTGCCCAGCGACGCAAGCCTTGGAGCGGCAGACGAAGCTGCTCCGGCACCCGCTTCCGCAGGGCAATCAGAAGCCAGATTATCCAGCGCTGGGGATCAGGGTCGTGGCCCTGGTGATTTTGTCGCCAGATCATAAGTGCGAGCCAGTCCAGCTACGGGCGCAGTGCCGGGGCCCAGAACGAACATCTTTAAGACAGAGCTTTTCGTTTGTCGTGCTCGGTCTCAGCGTGCCCTCACCGAGCTTCGGGGCCGTCGCGAAACGGCTCAGGAATGAAAACCAATCGCGGGGGATCAGCTGGAGTTTCTAGGGGCGCCATGTTTGGCAAATCAGGGAATCGGATGTCTGAGAATTCGGATCGGGGCACATGCGCGTTGGCGACACTGCGTGCCCCTCAAACAGGAGGGGCGATGAATGAGAGGAGAGAGAGAGAGAGAGAGAGAGAGAGAGAGACGGATAGAGAGAGAGAGAGAGAGAGAGAGAGAGAGAGAGAGAGAGAGAGGGAGAGAGAGAGAGGGAGGGAGGGAGGAGGGAGGGAGGGAGGGAGGGAGGGAGAGAGAGAGAGAGAGAGAGAGAGCAAAACAAAGATAGCGAGAAAGAGAGAGAGAGAGAGAGAGAGAAAGAGGGGGAGGGAAAGAGAGAGAGAGAGAGAGAGAGGGAGGGAGAGAGAGAGAGAGAGAAAGAAAGCGAGAGTGAGAGAGAGAGAGAGCGGGAAAACAGCATTCTTTTCCCTGATAGCGTTTCGCTAGAAGAGTCGAATGGTGATGAAACAGCAAATGTGTCCGACAACGGGAAGGGGCAGCCCTCGAGGGCCCCGCCCGGCAACCGTTTCGCTTGAAATGTCGCATGTTTAGGAGTTCGTTCCCGCTTCGCTGCCAGCCTGAAGACAATGCATTGCAGTTGCGCGCTGCTTTGCTGTCGCCCTTGTCCCAGCTGCATATTGGACCGCTGGCCGGCGGCCGTCTGCTCCTCGACCCGTCTTTTCCCGACCTAGGCTCTGCCTAGAAAGGTTCTTACTCTGTTTGCTTAAAAGGCCGGGCAGTGGGGCCCGCCCCGGGCGGTTCCCCCAGTGCCCGCCCTGCGGTTCCCGCAGTTGCGCCCCCTGGGTTTACCCAGCTTAGCGTAGCTAATCTTAGCTTAGCTTAGCTTAGCTTATCTCATCGTAGCTTAGCTTAGCTTAGCCTAGCCTAGCCTAGCTTAGCTTAGCTTAGCTTGGCTTGGCTTGGCTTGGTTTGGCTTAGTTTGGCTTGGCTTAGCTTAGCCTAGCCTAACGTAGCTTAGCTTAGCTTAGCTTAGCATAGCTTAGCTTACCTTAGTTTAGCGCAGCGCAGCATAGCTCAGCGCCGCATTAGCACAGCCCAGCATAGCATAGCATAGCCAAGAATAGCATAGCATAGCATAGCATATCATAGTTCGTCATAGCATAGCATAGCATAGCATAGCGCAGCATAGCATAGCATAGCATAGCATATCATTGCTTAATATAGCACATCGCAACATAGCATAGCATAGCACAACACAGCATAGCACAGTATAGCGCAACATAGCATAACCTAGCATAGCATAGCCTAACATAGCATTACATAGCGTAGATGCAGGTGTAGATGTTAATGTAGCTGTCGGTGTAGATGTAGATGCTGCTTCCCTAGATGCTCCAACTGCTAGGTAGGGTCGCACTGGGATAATTTTAGGTCAGTTGGCAGTGTTCCCTAGTGGGATAATTCATCCCTGCCTTCCCCCCCGCAGCCTCGCCCCCCCTCCTTCCCCCATCCTGCTCCTCGGTTCCTATCTGGGTCGCATTTCGGGGCGGCCGACTTTCACGGGGAATGAAAAACCCGGTCGTTCCAGCCCCGCTCCGCTTGTTTCTGCGCCCCCCTCGTCTCCTTCCGCGTTTGCTGCTTTCTTGCGCGCCGCCGGCCCCTCGAGGGGCCGCTCCGTTGGAGCTGGCGCGCAGGCTGGGGAGACTGGGGTCGATGCAAACGGGGTCATTCAGAGCGCCAGATCTTCCAGGGCCCTGCAGTGCCAGGGGCGCATTGACCCGGGCTTGGGCGCGGGGTCCTGCAGGATTTCGCAGGGTCCTGCAGGGCCCGACTGACCCGGGTTTGGAGCGACCCCGGGCCGGTTGATCCTCGAAGAATGATTTGAATTTTTACCCCTCCGCCCGAGGTGGACAACGTGCCGTGGAGCGCCAAGGACGACGCGCAGCAGCCGCCCGACGAGCCGCGCATGGCGGCGCCCGTACCGGGCGTGGTGCAGCTCGCGGCGGCCGAGAGGGCTGGCAGGCAGATTCCGCGGGAGGTGCCTCGCCGCACGAGCGGCGGCTCCGATTCGCCTTCGGCTCGGGGGGGGGGCGAGGTAAAGTTTGAGCACAGGGTTGGCTACAGAATTGATGTACCCTAGAATTGGCGTTGTTTTCGTTGATCTACGGATCATTATCAGTATTCGTAGTCCAGCACCTGGATAGCGAGGCGGCAAACACTTCTGGGAGGCTCTTCGAGGGAGCTCCGGAAGCTCTTCGCACGAGCTTCTGGGGAGCTTCAATGCACGCGTTTGGGCAAACAGTTAAAGGACAAATTGCCGGAACCAGTGGCAAATTCACAGGAGGCGCAGCGAGGTTTTTTAACCGACGCCAGAACGAGCTCTGGGGCTACTCTGCTGTGCCGGTTTCTTATCTGATCCCTCTTTAGCTCTCTATATTTGAGAACAGTAAGGATGAGAGGCTTTCCAAGGTTCCCCTTGCGTCTTCCCCCTTCGGCCCATCCTTGGCCGTTCTCGGTGGCCGCCCCCCGCTCGCAGAGTGTCGACAAGGCCTTCCAGGGCCCTTGCGTCCTTATCGCGCGTCCGTATGCGGGTTCGCCGCCCACTGGGTCGCCCGCGGGGGCGTGAAACGAATCACGCCTCGCGCCTCGCGGTCTCAGCCAGAGCGTCTGCCCTCCCCCGGGCGGGCGGCGCGAGGGCGCCATCGGCATCGGCCCTCGGCGCTCGGCCCCAAGAACCCCCTCGCCCCCCAGAAAACCGAAGAGGGGCCCGACATGGCCTCGAGGGAACCCTAGGAGGGCTCCAAGAGAGCCCCAAGAGGACCCCACGGTGGCCCCAAAGGTCCTCCAGGAGATTCTTAAACCAAATATCCGCGTAGGCGTGCTTCTCCTCCGCCTTCCCCCCAGTGCTTCACCTTGTGTTTGTTCTCCTCCTCCACCCGCTCCTCCTTCTCCTCCAAAGCCTTGCGGGAGGAGGCGGATAATGATGAGGAGGGGGAGGAGCAGGGGGAGGGGGAACAGGAGGGGGCATGCATGGACGGGGAGGAGAAGTGGGGCAGGTGGATGGAGGAGCAGGATGAGGAGGGCGGAGGTGGGAGGAGGCACCATCCCTGACCAGGTCCTGGCATGCCAGGTGCGCCGTTCTGGCCGAGGCCTGGAGGGTCTGTACATTTGCCTGAGGCCTAGGATGACCCTAGTACGTTCGGGCCGAGGTATAAGATCGAGGTCGTTTCGGGCAGGGTATCCGAATGTTCTCCGTATTTGTTGGATCTTGTTGTGCATCCTGGGGGAGGGCGCCCTCGAATGCCTTTCAGTCTGCGCCGGCGGAGGGTCTCATGTTCTTGAAAGATGTTCTGCTGTCCTAGGTCTGGCCGTGTGTATATTCATGGGTTCCAGTGAGGGAGGGAAAGCGGCCTCTCTCCCCTGGCTCTGTCCGGACAGTCTCCCGCCCTCTCCGCGTATCGTTTTTTGCAAAGGATGTTATTATTGGGCTGGCCTCCGGCTAGTGCCGCCGATCCGGGGGGGGTTGAGACTTGGGGACGTCTTGGAGGTTTCTGGAACTGTCTTCGGGGCATCTTGGGCGGTTCGAGCGATGTTTCGGCGATTCGAGGCCCTCTTGCATTGTCTAGGGGGTCTCTGGGGCCTCTCTTGGCTTCCTCTTGGGCTGTCTTGGGCGGTCGGGGCTCTATACCCCCCTGTCCCCGGGTACCGAAAAACGTCGGAAATGACGTCGGAAATATCCCCGTTGACCGAAAAACGTCGGAAATGACGTCGGAAATAACGTGCCCCCCCCCCCCCCCCCCCCCCTTGAAGAGCGAAGCTTGAGCGAGCTCAAGTCCACGCTCTCAGAAACTCACAGGCCGGATCGGCGGATTTGTTTTTCCCATATGCTTATTCAATCCAATCGTTTCTGGTTCTTCCAAAATGGTGCTCCCGCTGCAGCGCCGCCCTCATTTCTGCGCTTCGGTGATTCAAAACCGGCCACGTTCCCGCCCTTTTGGACGGCATTTGGCATTCGAAAGCGCCCACATCGGGCAGGCACCGTTGCGGAAAACATGGAGCCGGCATTCTGGACAGGCTCTGTCTTCTCGTAGACAGGTTGTTTACCTTCCAAATCATTTGGTGCCATGCCACGGCATACAATGCGATGCTGTGTTGTGCACCGCCTTGCGATGCCATGCTTTGCGTTGCTCTGCTTTGTTATGCAATGCTTCACTACTCAGTGCCACGCCATTCTACGACATGCTATGCTCTGCCGTGCTCTTCTACGCCATGCTCGACACCCGCTTGGGATCATTGCCCTGCTCGACATTCGACTGCGAATAGATAGGAGATCCACGCGATTGGAATGGATGGGAGGGAGGGGTAGGACGTCAGATGTGACGCTAGCGCTCCTACCTTGCCTTCTGCCCCTCCTCCCTCCCCTTCCCCCCCCCCGCCTCCCCCCTCCCCCCACTTCCTTTTTCGATCACCCCGCCCAATGGCCCTAGCCCCTGGTACGGCATACTCAGAACCAGGGTTCGTGGACGACGAGGTCCTCCAACTCCTCGTGCTCGTTCTGGAGGTCTCTTGGCAGCTTTGGAGGTTCTCGTCGCCACGGCCTGTCGCGGCCCGAGAAGGCTGACCACGCTGGACGTCGGGAGGGGGCCTGAGGGGACGATCATCAACGGATTTTGCTTACAAGTTTCGGTCCGCCTGTTTTGGCTTCACGGGGTCCCTCTCAAGCTTTGGGGCCGTCAAGCAATGATTTCGGATGCGTGGGCGGTTAAGGGAGCCCCAGGGGTTCAAGACTGGGCTCCCTCGGGAGGATGGCGCGGAAAAAGGTGGTTCGAGGATCCATCAGGGGAAGGTTACGTGAGCGGTACGCTCAGGGGAGGGGATGTATCGACCCTCGATCACCCAATGATCGTCGACAGGGGCCCGATAGCCCACCCCGCCCAGGAATGTGCGGCTTCATTATCGCGGGCCTATCGCCAGTCTATCGGCGATGTGTCGCCGATTCCACCTGGATTTGTCTTTCCTTGAGAAGAGCCCCGTCCTTTGGGTCCCCCTTCCCTGTTGGGCCTCCAGGGGCCTCGGGAGGCCTCCAGAGCCAGAGGGGGGCAGGGACCGTAGGAGGAACAGAGGGGGACATCTTCCCCCTTTTCCTCCCTTCTCTTTGTTCGCTCCCTCCTTCATTATTCCCTTCTCCCCAGCTCCTCCGTTCTTGTCCTCCTCATGTTCGTTCTTCTCCCTCCTCCCTCCCTGGGCGTCCCTTTTCCGTACAAAAAGCCTTGCTTGTCCGTCGCACCAACAGGCATGCCCGTAGGATGTGCGGGGCGTTTCGCTTGAGACGTCTTAATTGTTCGACGCTTCGCGTATTCCCACCAGATCCGTAGCCACTGGCTCAAGCCATCTGGTGGGCCTGCTCCCCTCGGGGCAATCTCCCACCGCTCAAGGGGGCGCCCAGACGCTGCACGGCGGGCCCGCGGTCCTGGGCTCCCTCGGGCCCCCGGGCGCGCGCCCGCCATACCAGCAGCGGCGCTGTCAGGCAGCGCGGGCCGCAGACTGTGCCAATGGGTGGGCTCCTCGGCGGCTGCGGCCAGATGGAGGGCGGGGAAACCGATCGACCTGACAACACCGAGGGGGGCGGGGACCACTCAGTGCAGGGCGCGGGAGCCCAGTCACTGGCCACGGTCGAATTCCCCTCAGGCCCCAATCAGGCCCAGAGTCCCCATAGACAGCAGCCTCCCTCCTCCATCGGGGCAGACCAGACTGGCGGATTAGACGTGAGCGAAAGGAACACGGGGACGGACGCCCTGGGAGAGCCAGGCCCCGACAACCTGTCTTCCGGACCCACCCTGGATCCCGTCCTGATCCCAGTTCCGTTCACGCCTCCCCCCTCCCCCCGCAGGGGGGCAGGCCGTGAGCGCGAAGCGCCAGCAGCAGGTTCCACCCAGCCCCCAGAGGCCGAGGACGAGGCTCTCGTAGGGAACCAGGAGGCGTCCGTGGACGAGGTCTCTGGAGAGAGTCGACACGACTCTAACCAGCCCATAGAAGCGGACGGCGCTGGCCACCCACCACGGGGGCAGGCAACCAGACCCCCTTTGCAGCGCCGGGGACCTCACCTCAGAGGCCGCTAGGTGACGATGGAAGAGCGGACTCCGAGCAGACAGCACTGCGCCAGAGGGCCGTCCAACCCACCTCCTCCTTCAATACATCGGTGACAGCGGCTTTTGGCTGCGCCCCCCCGCTTCCTCCTCCTCCTCCTCGCGACCAGGGTCTGTGTTCAGCGGCTTTTGGCTGCGCCACCAGTTCCCCCCCTCCTCTCAACCAAGATACATCAGTGACAGCGGCTTTTGGCTGCGCCCCCCCCCCATAACGAGATGCCGATGAATGGCGCTGGCGACCGCAGGTTGCCAGACAGCCCCCCCCAAGATCGAGCCCCGCCTGCGCCCAGGACGGGCGCGCGGGACGCCCGCGATGACAGCGAGGATACCCAACCCAGGTGCCCGCTGGATTTGATCAGCGCCAGCGGGGGGGAATTCCCGCTCACCCCGCCCCGCTCGCTCCCGCGCGCCCCCTCCGCCGCCCTCCTGATCCCCCCCCCCCTGCGGGCTCGGGCGAAACCAGCGAGATCTCCCCCGCGCCCCCCCTCCACCCGATCGAGATCGATGCCGAAAGCGGGCGGCAGCCCTGGGATGAGGTCGACTGGGAATGGCTTCTGGAGGACCGCGAGCCCAGCGGAAGCACCCCCGACAGCGACGCGCACCACGAGTGGGGGGACCCCGATGAGATCGATGACGGATCAGCCACCCGCGCCCGCGGTTCACTCCACCTCCAGGCCTCCCCCTGCCCCCGCCGCCAGGCTCAAGGCTGCTCAGTCGGGAAAGGCGGGCTGCCGACCTTGGTCATGGCGCAGAACCAGGTCTTCGCAGGCCCCTCCCCCATCCCAGGCGACGCGGCACCCGCGACGCCGACGCGCCCCTCCTGGCCCCGAGGGTCGTCGACCCAAGGGGCACCATGAGAGGAGGCACATTAGCGGC